TTGTTTTCTTCCGGCTCATTCTATATTGAGTCACTGTAAAATGAACATTAGCATCAACATATTTAGTAATTTAGAACAGGGGTGGGGAATGTCTGGCCTGTGGGCCATCTGAGGCCCTTGAAATCATTTGGTTTGCCCTGCCAAGGCAACCACAGGAGGGACTCGCAATTCAATAAATCTAGGAGCTTTTTTCAGAGCAACATAAATTTATACTAAGTGAATTATAATAATAACATAAATTTTAAAAATATGTTTTTATTGATCTTTTAGAGAGAGAGGAAGGGGCATAGAGACAGAAACATCTATATGAGAGAGAAACATCAATTGGCTGCCTCCTGCATGCCCCACACTGGGCATCGAGCCTGCAACCTGGGTATGTGCCTGACCAGGAATCGAACCAGGACCTCTCAGTCCATGGGACAATGCTCAATCCACTGAGCCACACCAGCTGGGCATAACATAAGTTTTGAGGGACAAGCAAGGAATGTCCATGACGGGATAGATGGGACATATACGAGTACATGATGGGACAGACACATAAGCTTCTTGTCAGCTGCCCTTGGCCTGTCTGCCTGTATTGTGGTGACTCAGAGGACAGCTAGTGCCAGGCAGGCTGGGAGCGTACATGTTGCAAAAGTGTTAACACACTGGCAAAACTACGGCAATCCTGTGATGATGAGCCCAGATGCGATGAGTTGATTCCTTGAGACGTTGATGACCTTGCCTCTGATGATTGACCATGATGTTGTCCGCTTCTTTGTTAACACAGATGATAACTCCAATTCACCTTAATCCACATGTCTATGATCAACAATCCTTGCAAAAACGGAATCTTAGAGATGAAGATTAAGGGAATTACAGTACACAGAAAAGACCTCAAGAGTCCATGATACAAATGTTGGATATGCTCCAAATCCAAGACACAGGATTAGAACAGTGATCAAAGCAAAATAATCACGTAGCTGGTGACACACACACTGGATAGTTATTAAAATTTAACTGGTGTGACATCCTACAAATGGCGACTACAAAGAAAAGTTGATTCATAGTGTCAATCTTTCCAAGAGAAATGGACAAATGATTCTTTTTTTGTTGAAGTCAAAGGCAAACCCGTGTGCCTACTTTGTGGCGATATGTTAGCAGTAATGAAAACCAATTAGGAGGGTCATTATAGCTCAAAACATGCTGAACTCAATGAATCGGGAGGCCAAATGCATCTGGATAAAATCAATGCTCTTTGGCGGAGTTTAGAATCACAACAAGCCGCTTTCACTAGGCCTCGTTGTGACAGAGATGTTATTCAGATGAGTCATATACTGAGCAAGCTAATGGCAAAGAAGCTGAGGCCTCATGTAGAGGGAGAGTTTGTGAAAGAGTGCATGGTGGCTGTTGCAGAGTTGTTAGCGCCAAAGTAAAATCATTTGAGTGTTACTTTGTTTTGGAGAACCACCTCAGGTCAGATTATTGACTTAGCACAAGATATTGAAAAAACACTGAAGGGTTCTGCAGAAATCCAATTTTTCTCTCTGGCTTGTGACAAGACAACAGACATAACAAATATACCCTAGTGGCCATTTTTGTTCGTGGGATAACTGAAGAGTTTGACACGTGAGAGAAACTGCTGTCACTGGAAGCCATCCATGCATGACACTACAAGAAGTGAGGACTTGTTTGAGAGTCTTGTTTGATCAATGTAAAAACTTTTCATTGATAGTTCAATGAGCTAACATTTGAAAAGAGGTCTTGCTACAGATGGAGCTCCAGCCATGGTTGGTTCACAAAAAGGGTTAATTGCATTTGTCAAGAAAGAACTGAATCGTCTCAGTCTTGATCCAAGTGATTTAATTATATGCCACTGCATCATACACCAAGAAAGTCTCTGCACAGTCGTTGCGGCTCAACAATGTGATGTCAGTAGTATCATACATAAATTTTGTCAAAAGCAGAGGGGTTTAACAGCCGCCAGTTTGAGGAGTTACTGAATGATCTTGACTCTTGAGTATGGTGATTTTATCATGTGACGTGAGGTGACTGAGTCGTTCCTCCTGACTGTGCAGGTGGATGATTCGGTGTTTGGCTGGGGTCTTTGGCAGAAGCAAGGAGCTTGAAAGAGTCCTATTGAGGTTTGGTTCCAGTTGTGGAAGGGAGCTGAGAGTCGTTACTCCCTCATTGAGAAGCAGTTTGCGGCCGTGTACGCAGCCCAATTAGCCAGTGAAAGTGTCACTGGTCCTTGTCCTGTCACAGAGCAAACTACCCACCCGGTCAAGGGGTGGTTACAGTCTTGGGCTACTCGACCACGCACAGGGGTGGCTCAAACTCCCACTTGTTATAGCCAGTGATAGAGGAACTAATTTTACAAGCCACTTGGTCCAAGCCTGGGCATGGGACAATGCCATCGATTGGCAGTTACATGTCCCTTATAGATCTCAGGCTGCAGGCATGGTAGAGAGATTCAATGAGCTCTTGAAGGAAAAATTACGAGCCCTAACACCACATTGGAGGCGTTGGAAAAGACACCTGCCCATAGCGGTGAGGCTATCGAATGAACAGCTGCAGAAAATAGGTAAAGCCCCTCTGGACAGAGTCACCGAGGGCACTACCCACATACTACGGGTGTCACCTGGAAAGGAAACTGACTTAAAGCTCTCCCTGAGTGGAGGTGCCATTATTTTACCTGCTCCCACGGCGGTGGCTCCCGGACACGCAGAACAATGGATGTGGCCTTGGCAAGTAAAAACCTCTGAGGCCCCCTGGATAGCTCTGATACAACCCTGGGGTTAACGAAAAAGGGCTCTCACTCACCCTGGTTAGGACGCTGGCCCCTGACAGTACTGGCCACATTGCCTCCTGAGGCGAAAGTTTCCCTCTTGCGTGGTGCACCAGCCATTCGCCTGTGGCCCACACCTTTATATTTAGTAAACATGGAAGAGGAGCCCATGCCCTCTATGCCCAGACTACAGGTGTGGTACCATCAGCTGGGAGGGGCCCCTCTATAAGTTACCATCCTATCACAGGACGAGCAGGTAGCATGCATCTTACCAGAGGGTTGTGATCTGCCAACGATGGTTTCATTATCTGCTTTGTCTTACCGCCCAGGCTGACCACTGGGAAGTTTGCTGTCCTGGGCACACACCTTCGCCAAGGTGCACAATGTGTCACATTGCTGGGTCTGTACTGAGCTCCCATCTGACACTTCGGGCAACCTTCCCTGGCGAGTAGCTAGAGCTACACTTGAGAATTGGATGACCCTCCGCAACTGGAACCGCACCAGCACTGAATGGAATGCCTGCCTCTGGGTGCCTGAGACTCTTTTGTGCCAGACTTATTACAATGAACGTCCCTTACTCGAGAAAGCTGTATACAATGGTTGGGGGTGGATGATGGGGACCCATGTAGAATTATTGCAAGTAGCTCCTTTCTGTATAGAGCAAGTGAATTACTCTGTCCCTAATCATACAGTAGTTGGATCCTCAAGGAATTGTGTCAGAATATCTCCCGTAGAGAGAATACCAACTACTGGTGGGATGGGAGGAAATTAGTGGGCACTAAGCCTACCGACTTTTTGCCAGACGATGCTTTCTGGATCTGTGGACGCTATGGATGGCCCTACCTTCCTGCTCCCTGGACAGGACAGTGTACCTGGGGGTGCCCCTTTATACAGGGCTGCCCCACACCCACCTTAACCGAGACCCGCTAACTGGGACCCTGTTTGTCATAGATGGCACCGAGAGAAAAGAGCTGCCTGGTGGTTCTACCCCTTGGCTTTGTTTATACCTGGGGGTGGGACAATAGCTGTAGAATTGCAAGTAGCTTTGGCGCAACATATGCCCAAGTCTTGAAAGTTACTCGCACATCCCTAGCTTTGCTGATAGACGAAACTACGCAAATGCATAAAGTGTTACAGACCAGGATGGCTTTAGACCTCCTGACTGCGGTCCAAGGAGGAACTTGTGCCCTTTTGCATGTTGAATGCTGTGTTTATATCCCAGACCATCAGCAGCAGATACAGGAAGCCCTGAAAGAAATGGACGCTGGTTTCAGCGATACAGGCTCTCCAGGAAGACCCCCTGACACAATGGTGGACCAAGCTGGGGAGTTCCTGGAGATGGGCCCTACTGCATCTGGCAGGCCTCACTGGAGGTCTCTGGTTCTGTGCTGCAGCCTGTATTGCAGTTGTGGGCTCTGGGCGCAGGGAAATGCTTTATGGGTCAAGTCCTGACACCCCAGCCTCTAGGGGGTGGAGTGTTAGGGCCTGGAAGCCTGGCCTGTTGTTGATAGAGGCCATGGTTCAGGACATAACCCCAGAACTGGCTGCGCAGGCGCTGACCACGTTACCGTTATATAAGTATGACACAGCAAAAGCTTAGGACGCATGACCACGCACGGTCTCTGCACTGCCTCCCCCCCCCAGTGTTCTACCGCACGCGTGTAAAAGCCACTAGCTGTATTGAATAAAGCTCCTGCCGTTTGTTGACCCTCCTGGTGTGGGCTCCACATGCTTTCTTTACCTTGGGTCTCTCACCGCCGAAACCCCCTGGAAACCCCCAGTCTCTGGTTTAAGTTATTTACATAAACCAGTTACATATTTTTTCTTTTCCCAAATGATAAATGCCAAGAACCAGTTATAAAATCTGACTGCTGTGAAGCTACACAAAGACAACTATAATTAGTTTTAAAATTTTATTGAAATTCAGGTTTAGAATTTAACAATTTAATACAGTATTATGTTGAATATTTTCTAACCAGTATTCTCACCTGCTTCACATTATTTCTGGACACAACTTTTAAGAATTGGTACTTTCTAATTTTCCATATGCCAGTTATACATTCATTCATTAAAATCTCAGATACATACCTAAAATTGTTATCTCAATGTAAGAATTAAAAAAAATAAACTCAAATGTTGAAAATTTAAGACACTAATATTACAGCCACTGTAATATAGAAAATAAAAAATTTTACAATCTTAACTGTTTAAAATTGTTAATTTTATTGTAGTAATGCAAATATTAATTTTTAACATAATCATGTGACTTTTTCATTAAAATGTTTAACTATTTCCTACTGAAGCATGTCCAAAGTTATAAAAATCTTTTCTTTTAAAGTAACCTATATTGAATTAGTCCAAAAGTAATTGTGGCACTTTAGATAAGCATATTTTAAGTACCCAAGGTGCTGCCTGATCAATAGCAGGTTACTGGACAAAATATAAAGCATGGGTTTCTTTAAGGAGTGAGTCGTTTGGGATCACGGGGGAACATTGAGGTCTGACGAACATTGTGCAATCCCAAAAACAGCATAGTCACTCGTTCCAACCCTAGGGAAAACAAAATAAATATTAATTCTTTTTCTGAAAACCTGTCAGAATCTTTCTTATTGAAAACTACCAACATAATATCGCCCATCAACAAAATACTTTTCCTTGTTAGGAAGGAAAATGACTTCTATTATTTTGAGTTTATTTAAAATGAAATGTTTTTAGCCCTGGCCAGTTTGGCTCAGCGGTTAGAGCGTCGGCCTACGGTCTGGAGAGACCCGGGTTCGGTTCCCGCTAAGGGCTCGTACTTCAGTTGCAGTTTGTCCCCGGCCCTGGTTGGTTGTGCGGGTGGCAGCCACTCGATGTGTCCCTTCACGTCGATGTTTCTCTCTCTCCCCCCCACTCTATCTGTACTGAATGGTTTATATATAGTATGCTACAATCTATATAAAAACATATTTTTAAAAGTGTGTATATTTTTGATTATGCAAAGACTATTTTGTATAGAGAGGTGAACACACACTCCTCTATACCCTTTTAATGTGAAATTTTTGTAAGTATATTATCTACTCATCAAAAAACCCCCAAACAACAAACAAAAATTCAACAAAACTATAAATTCAGAATTCTGAATTTTTAAGAGTATTTGATACAGACATCTAAAATCTGAGTTAAATATTTACTCATTTTAAATCACGGAGCAGTAGATTACATATACTCTAGAGGTGGTCCTAAAAGTCATTAAAATGTTACATTTCTACAAAAACATTTAGCAGCAATATGAGCTTATTCAAAAGACAGCTTTAATTTGGGCTAATTTGAATGAACTCATAGATGAAAGAAAACAGGGTACTGAATGTATAAGACATTTTGTTTTTAAACTATTAAGACAAAAAGAATGGCTAGAACTTTATTACAATACTTTATTTTTAAAAATATTTTGGTATGTGCCCCTAGCAGGAACCAAACCTGGGACTCTCTGGTCCGTAGGCCGATGCTCCAACCGCTGAGCCAAACCGGCCAGGGCTTTTATTTATTTTATTTTTTTATTAATTTAGAACTCACTAGTTAGATGTTCATTTTGTTCTTTGGAAATCAAATTTTTATTTAGTCATAACTCATTTTAAAACTTCTTGTAATTCAAATTTGTATTACACTTAGCATTTATGGACTTATTTATAAGCAATAACAATATACAAAATTTATTTCTTGTACTCTAATGCTGAAGAAATTTAGTTAGAATTGAATGAACACTTTGCCAAATGAAATCTGGGTTGGAAATATTATTGTCATAATATTAAGGAATATTACCAATGCCTCCACCACCATGAGGCGGGGCGCCAAAGCGGAAGGAATCGATGTATGCCTTAATTTTCTCCAAATCTAAAAAAACAAAAGCATAATTTATCATCTTATTTAGCTTTAAAAAGGTACAAAAGCAGCTATTGCTAAATGAAGAGTTAAACAAATGACTTTTTACCAATTCCGTGATGTAAGGCTCTCTCTGTTAGCAGCTGAGGATCATGTATTCTTTGAGCTCCAGACAGTATTTCTTCTCCTCTCATGAACATGTCATAAGAGTTGGACTGTTTCTGCAGGAAAAGCAAATAAACCAAAAACATCACGTTTTGAAAGTGGCTATCATTCTATTTCCATTACACATGTGGAGAAAAAAATCTCTGTTGTATGAACAGCAAGTTCATTTTTTCCTACAATTAATGATGTAACTACTCCAATGTACGTAGTTTTTAAAAACATTTTTAAATTTATTGATTCTAGAGAGAGAGAGAAAGAAACATCGATTTGTTGTTCCAACCATTTATACATTCATTGGTTGCTTCTCGTATAAGCCCTGACCAGGGAATGAACCTGCAACTTTGGCATATTGGGATGAAGCTCCAACCAACCTGGCCAGGGCACCAGTGAACATATTTTGTTTCAGTAAAACAGGATTGAATTAGTGAGGGCCGAATAATAACTTCTTCCTTGCCTCCATCAGATTTTATGCTCCCCTTCTCCCACGCTTTCCAATATCAAATCAGAGCACCATACCTAACTTATAAGATGTAGTGCTGATTCTTACTTCCCTTTATCAACAGTAATGTTTTGAAGTGGGTCACTTTTGGAACTTCAAATTATCAATTAAAATTTCTTTTTTATCTTAAGGGAATCAAATTATACATCAATTTACCATAGCTTAACCATTCCCTATCAGGTTTTAATGTACTTTCCCTGTCTTTCAATAAACCAGTGGTTCTCAAAGTGAGATTCCTGGATCAGTAGCCTCAGTATTACCAGGAACTTGTTAGAAATGCAAATTATCAAGCTCTACCCCAAAGCAACTAATCAAAAAGTCTGGTGATGGGGTCCAAGGGATTATGATGCACACTAAAGTTTGGGAACCACTACAACGGAAAGATAGTAAAAGGCCACAAGACATTATTTAGATGAACTCCCAGAATAGAATGTGAAGTCTTAGTTCAAGGTCAATAACAGATTTTCTAATGTCTGCAATCTAGTAATACTATTTATTATTTTATATGGCGCTTTTCACTCATAAATCTTCAAAAAATGACACACAAAAATTATTTTTAGTGTAAGTTTCTGGAACTAATTTGCTAGAATATTCAGATTTCACTTTGACTTCAATTGACAGAAACTAGTAGTAATCCATGTAATAGGACCACTGAAACTGAAAATTACTAAAAACCATTATTCCCACTGTGCAATTTGACATAGCGACAATAAAGTTTTCCCTCTTCCCCAAAACAGGTTATTTAAAATCAAATTACTTACAGAATTTCTTGGGTCTGGCATGGTATAGAAAGGTCTTACAGCCAATGGGTATTTATCAAGAATATAAAAATCTGTATCATACTATAAAAAGAATAAACATGATTAAAATAGATTTTAAAAAAGTTTAATTAAAAGTAAAAAGAAGGCTAACATTTTGGTAATTAACTGTCCTTTATTTATAGTTTTGTGCTTCAAAATTACTATAATTACACTGTATATACACTAAGTATTCTGTTTCTTTCAAGTAATATCTGTAGCCTATAGTGTTTTTCCATAATGTTATAAATTCTTCCAATACTTTTTAGGAGCTGCTGACTATAAAATCATAGTTCAGATGTTCATTTTTCTTTTCTAGGGGAACATGTAATTTCTCTCTAATTTCTCCCACATTGAAAATTATACTGCAATAAACTTCTTTGATTTTCATTTTTTCCTTTGCTATTCTAGTTCATTTAGTGTTTCGGATGCATTTTATAGCTGTGTATGTTAAATTATCCCTAATATATTTGAGTTTTACGAAGAGTAACAAAAATTTTAAATCTATAAATTATTTTGAGAAAACTACCTTTATAATATTCATCTTAAAAAAAAAAACAACCTTGATTACCTTCCCAATAATTAAAATCTTAGTTTAGATATCTAAAAGAAATTTGATAGTTTTCTTCGAATGAAAACTATAATAGAAATAAGTAACATTAACATGAAATTATGACAGTTTTTAGAATACTTACTATGTGACCTAGATATAATTAAAAAGAAACCAATCACATTTCAACCGTTTTGATGTTAAACATTTTTGCTAAAACCGGAATGTAGAGGGAATGTCAATAAAGCTGACAAACTGAAAGTGGCTCTGCTGAAACAGCATTTCAAAGGTATAACTTCAATACTGTGCAGTTTCAGAAATATACTTTAGTTTCCTCAGCAGTTTAACAGTTTAGATGAAACCAGCAGGAGGCGTTCTAGGACTGTTTGCATTTTTATACACAATTTTCTTAATTTAAACACCATACTTAGTTTGTATTTATTCTGGAATCATACTACCCTAGGAAAATTAGTCCCCTCTGCAACTAGCAGGGACTAATAGTACTAGGATATATTTCAGATTGAGAAAAAGAAATCCAGCGCATGTACAAGAGGCCTACCTTTTCCTTTACCAAACGACCCAACAGTTTTTCATTTGGCGTACTGGAACAACAACAACATGAAATCAGGTGTTGAATTAGCTCATAAAGGGTTAATAAAGCACTTCTTCTATTTGGAAGTTCCCAAAGAATAAAAAATTCAGCAAAAATACACAATTATCTACCCTGCTCCTTTTAAAAAAGGTAAGTATTACTGAAAACTACTTATAAGTGCACCTGGTACAGTGACTTGCATTTAGTAGGTGCTGCTCAATAATATTTAAATAAAACCATAAACAGAATTTATTATTTCACTGTTCAGAAAGAACATGAGTGAAAAAATTTCCTACAATCACATATAATAAAAATCTACTATACGAACTTAGGCTATTTTTGCCATTAAATGGTTCCACTTTAAAATGGTCTCTCCTTTTTGTTACTTTTATCAAAGGTTTATAAAACAAAAATCAATATTTGAGTCTTTAAAATATAATAGTGTTTATATAAACCAGTTACAGTTCTATATCCAAGGGGTTGCTACTTTAGCATCTACCCTATTTAAGAACAATTTCCAAAATACTTACAAAATTATTGTCTAACTTAAAGTAATTATAGAATGTATGGTTTGCCTTAGATAGCAATGTAGGGTATGTGTAAAATCATATATATATATAGATATATCTTTTAAACAAACAAAGTAGAGTTTTGAGTGAAATGTTTTTAAAAAGCCCTAAAAATGACAATAATCATTCCTTTCCCTCTTACAGCCATATGAATTGTTGTGATGCCTTAAATATTTTAATGTAAGGACCCTAGAATAAAATATAAGTAGATAATAATAATTTGATATCTTTATTAAAGTATATAATTTGTTTCAAAATTATGAGTTGTATGATCTGAATTTAGATAATATAGTATTGTACATCAAATAAAGAATAGTGATTTTTATAAACTTTTGGAGATGTTAACAGTTTTATGCCCTAATCCTGTGTGGGGATGGATTTAGACTGCTGTTTAACTTTCTCTAACACCACTGACTGAAAAAGAGGTAACATATTAAAAGACAAAATCACAGGCAAAAGTCTCTATATTCTTTAAAGCATTACAAACTTGAGGGGACAAAAATGGTGTTTACTGAAGCTTAGGCAAATCACATTAAATCATTTTTTCAGATCACATATTACTCAAAAGGTAATAAAATTAAATTTTATCAGCTGGGTAAAAAATTATCATTAATCAATATATATTCAGTCTTGCATATCTTAAATGTAGTTACTATAGTTTTAAAAATCACAAAGACAAACCTCAGATCTTCTTCATCTCCCATTTCAATTCCAGCTTCCCTTAGCATAGCCAATGCTTCACAATACTCTAGTCTTAAAGTGGGCTCCAAAAATTTGAATGGCTCACATGGGAATTGCTTACTCACCGTCTGAATTTCAGTTTGAAACCTATTTGAATAATGATTTAGTTAATAATAATGTGTGAGACAATGTTTTCCCCACTTTCCCCACAAGAGGTCACTGTGACAATATGCTAAAAATCATTAAAAAAAAATTTTTTTTTTTTTTTACACCAATACTGGTGAAATAAGGAACATATATAGATAGCTTTTACTCTTCCACACACTTGCTACACATTTTTTTCTTTTAACAAAAACATTTTAAATATTTCACGGAAGTTGCCCTGGTCGGTTTGGCTCAGCGGTTAGAGCGTCAGCCTGCAGTCCAGAGAGACCCGGGTTCGGTTCCCACTAAGAGCGCGTACCTTGGTTGCAGTTTGTCCCCGGCCCTGGTTGGTCGTGTGGGTGGCAGTCTTATGCTGTTTGTCACCATGGTGGTATTAAAGGATTAAAACTTTCTTTATAACTTGTATCAGCTAACATTGTTAGAAACATAAACTACCCATTTCATAAGGCATTAAAAAATCTGACTCTTTAACTGCTGTGAAAGTAACATAGGTTCTGTTTCTTGAGATATTCAGAAAGTCAGTATAAAGGTAAATATAAATGTAGTTAGGCTGTTCACAATCGGGTAAATGTCCTCACCAAAATGAGGTTAAATAGCTGAAGCCACATGGACTTGGATCCTGAACAGTATGTTGAGTGTGGCTTTTTTTCACTAATCAACTGATTACCTAACTAGCAAGTCTATATATACACATTTTTAATAGAAACTTAGTTTACACATTTCAATTCAAGAATTGCTTTATTCTGAAGAACCCAGACTGATTTGAAATTAAGTCCAATCAGGAATATCTATCTATCTATCTATCTATCTATCTATCTATCTATCTATCTATCTATCTATCTATCTATTTACCTTTCTTGAAGTCCTTTGAATATTTGTACTAATGTGTCAGCAATTTCTTCCACAACTTCATGGTAATGGTAATTAAAAGCCATTTCAATGTCCAAACCAACAAATTCAGTTAGATGTCTGTGGGTATTAGAGTCTTCAGCTCTGAATACTGTAACATTAATAAAAGGAATACAGAAAAACAATGTTTTAAATTTTGGAGAAATTGGGATTTAAATACAACATTCTATTTACTAGTACTCAAATGGTACTATTTTCATTATCATTATAAGGTTGGAAAGACCTTTGACAAGCCATTTGTTTCAGCATTCTCTTGGATGGCAAGTTTATTACAAACTCTTACAGTCACATAGTAAAAGCTGTAACAATGTAAATTAATAAGTGAGATTCACAAGAACCCTGAGGGAATGCAAGATCCTGAGGTGCCGTCTCAATAATTAAAAATATTCCATATAGTGAGTTCTCAATTTTATTAAAACTTGACTCAAGCTACATGCAATCTGTACAAATGAAGCAATGTTATACATATTTCAGCCATTATGTCAGCCCAGCTCTTACTATTCTCACTGCACTTTCTTCCTTTCCAGTCTTCCTGACTCTAGTCCTGTTCCATCTTTCTTTCATGTTCTCATAATTGAATCCTACACTATATTTCCAATGTCTCCTTAATACCAACTAGTCTTATTTTTATTTTCTCTCATGTTAACTAATCTTACCTCTTCTGACTGGATTGCTATCTCCATTGTCTTTATCTCCTGCACTGTTCTTAAAGCCCATTTCAGTTTGAATTCTTTCATAGTGACTCTAGCAAATTTCATCTTCTTTCTCTTTTTTATACTACCTATACCACATAATTGACATCAATCTGCTGACTGTATAGCACAATCAGATTATACGCTGTGAAAATCAGTTGATTATTCCCTGTGGCTGCTATATGTATGCATATCTTGTGTCTTGGGAGCAGGGCAATAATAATTCCCTTATCACCTAAAGCATGGTCAGCAAATCAGTAGCATCAGCAGTACCTGGGAGCTTATGAGAACTGCAGAATGTCAAGTCTTACCCTAAACCTCTTGCATTTTAACAAGATCCCCAAGTGACTTGTGTGCACATTAACATTTGAGAAGCGTTGGTCGAATCTTCTTTTATATACTAGGTACCTAGCACAAGGCTATATATGCAGCAAGGGTTCAACAAATAATTGTTTAATAACTTCAGAATAAGACATTTAATGATCATACCAGTCCCTCTATTACCAGGCATTTATAATTGATCTTAAGCTAACATAAAACTTACAGATATAAAGTAATTTGGTAAGTTTTAAAGGATGAAGTAAAGCTAGTTTTTTGCTTATAATTAGCTTCATAAAAGAATATGCCTCATGATTGTGTGTCTGTGCTTGACTTTTAGCAAATATATCTTTAAAACCAGGTTAAAATACTCTATTAAATCCAGATGTTTGTTAGTAATTTCTAATGGACTTTAGCATAGTATCAATACTAAGGACAGTACAAATAGTAATAGTAAAAAAGAACGGCTTTGGGAGAAAATTGGTAGTAAAGTATACAGAAGTACATTTGTAAACTTACAACAGCAGTAAGGAGCTATCAAGGACAATAAGATACATTACTTGGAAGACTGCAACTACTTCTTCTTTAATATTGATGGAGAGTAAAAAGGACAGTCCAAATGGGAGCTAATTCTAATTACACTTAAGCATACTAAATAATATACTTAGATATATTTCAGAGGGTGTATATGTTTAAAGCGTGCATTTTTAAAATGAGATAGTCCCAAGATACAAGTTTTTTAAAAAAAATTTTTGTTCTTTATTGATTTTAGAGACAGAGGAAAGGAGGAGAGAGAGATAGAAACATCGATGAGAGAGGACATCGACTGGTTGCCTCCTGCATGCCCCCCACTGGGGATCGGGCCCACAACCTGGGCTTGTGCCCTGACCAGGAATCGAACTGGCGACCTCCTGGTGCATGGGTCGAAGCTCAACCACTGAGCCACATCAGCCAGGCTTCAGCATTCTTCTCTAGAAATACATAATGCTTATGATTCTATTCACATGAATGATGCTCAACTGCTTACAGAGTATTGAACGTACTATTTTTTTTAGATATATCTATCCAAGCAATGCTGTCATTTTTTACCTTGAAGTCCAGTGTTTATGTAGTCAGTATATAAAAAGATTTAGCTTTAAAAATGTCTATGTAAAATGTGTTTCTAGCCCTGGCCAGGTGGCTTGGTTGGTTGGAAAGCCGTCCCATACACCAAAAGGTTGCAGGTTTGATCCCCAGTCAGGGCGCATAGGGGAGGCAACCGATTGATGTTTCTCGCCTCAGTGTTTCTCTCTCCCACGCCCTGAAAAAATAAAATCAGTGAAAACATGTCCTTGGTTAATAATAAAAATAAATAAAATGTGTTTCTAAAACCCTAACTGTGGTACAACGAATGAATCCTGAGAAAACCTTAAGTACCAAAAGCTTACCTGGTCCAATACAGAAAACTTTTTCAAAATCAGCACAAATACACATCTGCTTGTACAGCTGTGGGGACTGAGCCAGATATGCATTATTTTTAAAATATGACACAGTAAATACATTGGCTCCTCCTTCACTGGCAGCTGAAATATAAACATTTATGTTACTATAAACAATTGTAAGCTTATCAATGCAAACTTCTAGTAAAAATAGTTTATACTTTTGATTCAAGTACTTCACTTAAAAAAACAACACACACACTAGAAAATAAAAAATTGCAGAGAAACCATAGTCTATGTATGCTTTATATCTGATTCTAAACAGTTTATATTTAGGGAAGATTTGCATCTTTGGCTATACCTTCATTTTACTTCTTTGGATATATACTCTCCCTTTGTACATCAATTTCAAATCTTTTTTTTTTTTTTTAATCCTCACCCAAGGATATTTTTACATTTATCTTCAGACAGAATGGGAGGGAGAGAGACACACAGAGAGAAACATCGATGTGAGAGAGACACATCGATTGGTTGCTACCTGCATGACCCCAACTGAGGCCAGGGACTAACTGTAACCAATGTACATGCCCTTGGCCGGAATCAAACCTGGGGCTCTTTGGTCTGCAGGCTGATGCTCTAACTGCTGAGTCAAATGGGGCAGTGCCAATATAAAAATCTATAAAAGCTATTTAGAGTTGTAAAAACCTTTTTACAAAGGAAAAAAACAGTCTTAATATTTTTCTAATTATCAAGCATTTAATGTTCAATTTTTTTCAACTAAATGCCATTAGCAACATACTTTTTCGTGTTATTTAAGCAACTCTGAAAAAGGTAAAATAATTAAAGTTCTCATATAAGAATGAGAATTCCTGAGATTTTTTTCCTCTCTGCAGTATTTAGTATTGATTTTACAATGCAGTTCATAAAAAACAAAATTGCAATACCAATTTAAAAAGAAACCTACATAATGAAAGTCATTTCTGGTGTAACTTATATAACAACAATCTTGCTTTATGTGTTATTGTCTCACTTTATAGTCACTATCACATAATGATTCCTGAAATAAGGGGATATCATATTATTGATATTAGTGAGATGATGATTGCTGCTATATAGCATCGTCTTTGTAATAAATAGCCTCAGAGCAATAAACCTTGAGGGATACCTGGGATTCTCAAATTAAAAAAACAAAACAAAACAAAAAATGTAATAGTAAGCAACCTGGGGGAAAGCAGATTATTATTATTTTTTCACCCTCACCAGAGGACATTTATGCATTTATTTTTAGATAGAGCAGGAGAGAGAGAAGGAGGAAGAGAGAGAGAGAGAAACACTGACGTGAGAGAGACACATAGACTGGTTGCCACCTGCACTGGGGCTGGGGACAAACTGCAATTGAGGTACGTGCCCTTAGTGGGAACCGAACCCGGGACTCTCCCATCCACAAGCTGATGCTCTAACCGCTGAGCCAAACTAGCCAGTGTGGAAAACAGATTATTTTTAAAAATTAAGAGAAATATGTTAAAGCATACCTGAAATAATTTTAGGAGTTTGAATTTCCACAAAACCTTTGTTAACTAAAGTTTCTCGGAAAAGATGGCAGATGCCAGACTGGAGACGGAAGATTGCCTGACTAGTTGATGTCTATAAGACAATAATAAAATCCAGTTAAGTCAATTTGACACATGAAGGAAGTAAATAAATGATATCTCCTACGTGGTGCAGGGCTTATTGAGAACATAATGCCCCATCTAGAGTGCTACCTGGCATTGCTATGAGGGCCCAGTATTGCCAGATTCATCTTCACTTTTAAAGGAAAGCCATTTAGATCTAATGCGAAAACCCCCATTTTCCAATGGTGACAATAAATTAAAAAAAAAAAAAAAAGATGTGGGTCAAAGAAAAATACTCTCTGGGCCAAATTCTACAGGCAAAATCAGTAACTTGTGTGGATAAATAGCATAGGCAAATACAGTATGATGTTTAACTGCTGTGGCCAAAATTATTAAAACCCTGAGGTTTCTAGGCAGTATATAGAGGACTTTTGATTACATCTAGCGTTTTCTATCTACTACAAATTAATATGGAAAAGGTAAGAGTAGACAAAAAGCAAATGATCAGGGGAAACATGGGTGTATGATCAAGGGCAAACCTGTATGATTGCAGAAAAGTTGTAAAGAACTTACAAGGTGACAAAGAATTTAAGCTTTAGGTGGAATATGTTATGTAAAGGAGGAAGATGTGGTCAAAACATTAAGAAAGAAAGATGACATTGGTTTTACTACAATGATGAAACCACTGAAATCTTTCAGTTGCAACCAAGCCAGAAAGGGAAACAGACCCTACGAAATTACTATATAAACCAAAGGGCCAACCAACTACTTCTTCATTAATTCTGTGCTCAGATCAAATTCGGAGGATTGAGGCTTTAATCTTCACCAGGTTGTTCTAAAACCTGCACATAATTTCTTTCAAAAATTTGTAGTGATATTAGTGGTTATTATGTTTCTACTTGCTTACTAACTTATCTAAAACAGGTATCACCTGGAAGCAAGCCCTTTTATTGGCTTCATGTTCCTTTGTCTTTTTAAAATTATGCAAGTCAATATCCTATGAATTACTACTTGACTGTCCTTGTAGCCTGCAATTATTTTTTGGAGAAGGGTAAGTTGGAAACATAAACTCTCTTTCTTGTATTATCATACTTACATATAAGCAAACAACAATCAGTTCTACTGGCATAATCATGTCACTTAATAAATAAATGAGGCATACCCTAAGATCAATGACTCTGTTGTCTAATCTTGTATCCTGGTTAACAGTAGCTCTTCCTTCCTTAAAAAAAAAAAGAAAAAGAAAAACAGATTTTACTAAAACACTTCTAGAAGCCATGTTTACTTTTAAGTGACAAGTGTGTTTATGTGTTAATATTATGCCCCAATCTAGATCCAAAAAATACGAAGTAGGTTTAGGGAAAAGTTACCGTTAAGAGAGAGAAATGGAAAGAAGAGAAATGAGAATGAACAGGGATTAATGCTTTCTTTCCATTTCACCCCCCAAAACCTTGCCTCCTTATTGAGATATTAGAAAAATTAACCACCTGAACCTTCATTGATTCCTGGATTTTACCTTCTAGTTAAAGACTGAAGGAACAGATAAAAACTGATAGAGGAGTAGTTCTCACTGTATGTTCTGGCTACCAGTGAGACACTTTCATAGAGTCCATTAAGTCAACCTATTTTTCATAACACCTTTTCATTCTCATTTTCTCCTTACTATACTGTCTTCCAAAGGCTTCATAATGTGTGCTACCACAACAAAATTAATGCAGAGACAAATATGAGAATCTAAGTGTTGCCTATTATGCCAGGCATTACAAAGATCTGTAGCTGTATTTATATTATTGTTACTTTTAATAAATTAATATTAAAATTTTTGTTTTAACGTCTAATACTGCAAATATTGACAAAAAACAAAAGCTTGTGAGGTCTATTATTTTTAAGAGTGTAAAAAGATTCATAGATCAAAAAGTTTTGAGAATTGCTGATGTAAGAATACATTTAAATAAAAATGAAGCTCATATCATCAGGTATTCTTCATATAAAAGTAGGGCATCAAGTTTTTTAATGTTTTGCAAACTAAACATACAGAGGAAGCAGTGTTGCAAAAGTATAATTTTTACCTCTTCTCCTTCTATCTCAGGCCGAATAGCATCATCCAGCTGCAGGGGCAAACGGGGTTCAGCCAAACTGATAACATAAATCTGAAAGTGAGAGATCACAAAGCACACAACCTGTTATCTTTTGCTTAAACAAACAAAAATTCTACAAATGACTTAAACATGAAGCAATATTTGCGTACATCTTCAACTAAAACTAACGTGCTAAAATCAAACAATATGGTACATGTTTTTCACCTATAAAATGGGGATAATAATATTTCTTGTCTACCTCTCTGGGTTGTTGAAACAATAAAATGAGACAACATACATACAAGTACGCTGTAAACTCTAAGGTGCATGCCCTTGTGATAAGTAAGTAATAACTGGATTTGAGGAGTCTTGGATTTAAGGCCTCACTTTGTCAAAAAAAGTTGTTAGGCAAATCACTTGACATCAGAACTTCAATATTCTACTATGTGAAATGATTTCTGAAGTAAAAATCAAATGGAATAATGAATATAAAAACACTTTGTTCATATGAAGGGGCCACTAACAAATAAGTTGTTATTATTAACAGCATTTAGCTATTTGTACCACTAAAACTAAAGTCAGCCCAACTCTGCTGTACCTCTCCTTCCTTTTCTATTCTTTTTCCAAATTATCCCTTCATTGCCTTCTTTCATTGAACATGTTATTATCTCCTTTCCTGCTCCTCTCCTGGTTGGAAGTACCAGAGAGTATTCCTTTATGGTGTTAAAATACCTCAATATCCACTCCCATTCCCACATTTTAGTGCTAAAAAGCAGTTAGGTCATAATGGATTAGCTACCCTTAAAAAACATGTTACCCTATTAATAATTATTTCCAGCTATACCTGAAAAACCTGCAAAAGTACAAAAGGAAAACAGACCTTATTTAGTTAATTCAGGAAATTATATTCTTCCAGTTGGTAGATCACATTTAATATTCAGCTGAGACACTTCAAGTGTCAGGATACTCTAGTCCTCCTCATAGTAAAATACTTGTCACCATCTCCTATACCCTAGTTGTAGTACTTGCCTTTGATAAGTTAACAGAAACTTGATCTGTAGTGCAAAGGTGAAGAACAGAAAAGCTACCGCTTATATTTTGTAAATAAAAAAAAGTTTTTTAAATTGACTTTAGAGAGAGGAAAGGAGAGAAAAAGAAACATTGATTAGCTGCCTCCTGCACACTCCCTACTGGGGATCGAGCCTACAACCTGGGCATGTGCCATGACTGGGATTCAAACCCATGACGCTCAACCAACTGAAGCACATCGGCCAGGGTTTGTTTATTTATTTATATCGATTTATTTTTGTTACAGATGTTTGTCCCCCACCCCAGACACCCTCCTCCCCATCCCACCCCATGACCCCCCTAGCATTGTTGTCTGTCCATTGGTTATGCATACATGCATGTAAGTTCTTTGGTTCATCTCATCCATCCCCGCCGCCCCCATCCTCTGAGGTTTTTCAGTCTGAACCATACTCCTTTCTATGTCTCTGGGTCTATTTCATTCATCAGCCCACCTTGTTCATTATATTCCACAAATAAGTGAGATCATGTGGTATTTGTTTTTCTCTGATTGGCTTGTTTCACTTAGCATAATACTCTCCAGGTCCCTCAACATCATCTCAAAGGATAAGAGATCTTTCTTTCTACAGCTGCATAGTACTCCATTGTGTATATGTACCATTGCTTTTTTATTCACTCATCTATTGATGGACACTTGGGCTGTTTCAAGATCTTAGCTATTGTAAATAGTGCTGCTATGAACATAGGGGCACATACATCCTTTTTGACTGGTGTTTCAGGCTTCTTAGGGTATATTCCTAGAAGTGGGATCAGTGGGTCAAATGGCAGATCAATTTTCAATTTTTTGAGGAAATACCATACTGTTTTCCATGGTGGCTGCACCAGTCTGCATTCCCACCAGCAGTGTACTAGAGTCCCCTTTTCGCCACACCCTCGCCAACACTTGTTGTTTGATGATTTGTTGATGATGGCCATTCTGACAGGTGTGAGGTGATACCTCATAGTTGTTTTAATTTGCATCTCTCTGATGATTAGTGATGTTGAGCATTTCTTCATATATCTCTTGGCCATTTGTATGTCCTTTTTGGAGAGGTTGTCTATTTAGGTCCTCTGCCCATTTTTAAATTGAGTTCTTTGTCTTCCTTTTGTTGAGTTGTATGAGCACTCTATATATTTTGGAGATTAACCCCTTATCTGATGTATCATTGACAATTATGCTCTCCCATATAGTGGGTTCCTTTCCATTTTGATGGCTGTTTCTTTTGCTGTGCAGAAGCTTTTAAGTTTGATTTAATCCCATGTGTTCATTTTTTCCTTCGTTTCTGTTGCCTTAGGTGATGTATCAGTGAAAATTCTGCTGCATATGATGTTTGAATCTGTGTTGCCTACATTTCTTCTAGGATTTTTATAGATTCACAAGTCACATTTAAGTCTTTTATTCATTTTGAGTTTATTCTTGTGTACGGTGTAAGTTGATGGTCTAGTTTCCTTTTTTTGCATGTAGCTGTCCAATTTCCCCAACATCATTTATTAGAGGCTGTCTTTACTCCATTGTATATGCTTGCCACCTTGGTCAAATATTAATTGAGCATAATGTCTTGGGTCAATTTATGGGTTCTCTGTTGTTTCATTGATCTATATGCCTATTCTTGTGCCAGTACCAGGCTGTTTTGATTACAGTGGCTTTGTAGTATAACCCGATATCCAGTATTGTGATCTCACATACTTTCTCCTTCTTTTTCAAGATTGCTGTGGCTATTCGGTGTCTTTTTTAGTTCTGTATGAACTTTTGAAGTATTTGTTCAAGTTCTGTGAACTATGTCGTTGGTATTTTGATGGGGATTGCACTGAATCTATAGACTGCTTTGGGTAGTACGGACATTTTAATGATGTTAATCCAATCCACGAACAAGGTACGTGCTTCCACTTCTTTATGTTTTCCTTTATTTCTTTTTTCAATGTCCTGTAGTTTTCCACAAATAGGTCCTTTACTTCTTTGGTTAAGTTTATTCCTAGGTATCTTAATTTTTTTGCTGCAATGGTAAATGGGATTGCTTGTTTAGTTTCTCTTTCTGTGAGTTCATTATTCGTGTATAAGAATGCCGTTGATTTCTTGATGTTAATTTTGTATCCTGCTACTTTTCCAAATTCATTCATTAAGTCTAGTAGATTTTTGAAGTCTTTAGGGTTTTCTATGTACAATATCATGTCATCTGCGAATAATGACAGTTTCACTTCCTCCTTTCCAATTTGGATCTCTTTTATTTTTTTCTTCATGTTTGATTGCTGTGGTTAATACTTTGTTAAATAGGAGTGGTGAAAGTGGGCATCCCTGTTTTGTTCCTGTTCTTAAGGGAAATGCTTGTAGTTTTTTCCCAATGAGTATGATGCTGGCTGTAGGTTTTTCATATACAGCCAGGGTTTTTAAAAAATTACTTTTATACCCAGTAGAAATTCACAGTTTCCTTCACTAGGTTGTGAGCACTCTGATCCCCAGAACCTCACACAGTACTCAGCACAAAGTATATTTTCAGTAACTGCTGGCTGAAAAAAATAAATAGGTGAAAAGTCACTGCTTATGATAAAATTTTATTTAGTATAAAATATTTATGCTTTGTGAGATACTTTATTTTTATTGAGAGAAAATTTGTAAGCTCTCTGGGCTTCATATTTATTATTAACATTTATTAAGTTTATACTAAATGCTAGATTATCAGAATGTTTTAGAAGTACATTTATTTGCTCTAGTCACTAAAATTTTATTTACTAAAGTACTGAAAAGCTATGTTGCTTGGAAGGTAGGGGTTTGTTTTCCTTGGACAGCATACTTTTACATTTATTTGCCTTTGCTAGGTTACAGACTTCCTGGTAGGGTTGGTTTAAAGTGAGAATTGCACAAAGAGAACAAAGTAATTTGGCAAGTTAGGCCAGAAAAAATACAAGCTACCATAAGTTTTGAAGAGTTCCATGACAATCAGTTCCAGTTAAATAACCTTATTCCCAAGTAAGTGTCATGTGTGAGTCTATCTTTTTGTATCATCTGTCAGTCAGTCTGCCTGACTGCTCTATCTTACATATGCCACAGGGTGTGTGCGCATGTATGTGAGCATATGTAAGATAGAGCCATTAGGCAGACTGTTTAAAGAGAAATTTAATGATGCATTTTGTAGATACAAACTAGGCCTGGAACTGAGAACTGTAGGTTCAAAATTACAGGGTTATTTCAACAGCACTAAATATATATATATTCACTTATCGTATTTAAAAAATATTTTAACTATGTTTTAAAAAAAATGTTTTTATTGATTTTGTAGGAAGAGAGAGACAGAAACATTGATGTGAGAAACATCCATCATCTGCCTCCTGCACGTCCTCTCCTGGGGATCAAGCCTGAAACTGAGGCATGTGCCCTGACTGGGAATTGAACCGAGATCTCTCAGGCCATGAGCCACTTACAGTATTTTAAAAGGTGATGATAATGACCACTTCTAGTTTTTATGTCTGAGAAGAAAACAAATGTGAAATAAATCTTGTACAAAAAGAAGTTATTGCTAGAATGTAAGACCAATATGGTACTGTCTCTTGATTTTTCTATATTGTACAATATTAGAAATAAAATAATGATTAAGAATTAGTATAATTAATCAATGTTTAGAAGTATATCATCATAAGAAAGTTCACAGAAAAAATAGGTTCATAATAGTAAATAAAACTTTTCCATGTGTTACATATTTTTCCCTATGTGACTATGGTAGATTATTTGCAAAAATGGCTGCCATAATTCCTTCTGCTCCTGAACTCATCTCATTTTCCAATAACATTGCCTTTCCTACCATCAAAAGGTGAAATCTATATTTCCATCTCTTATTTTTTATCCTCAACCGAGGACATTTTTCCATTTTTTGTACAGATAGAGTGGGAGGGAGAGAGAGGAAGGGAGAGAGAGTGAGAAACATCGACGTGAAGGGACACATCGAGTGGCTGCCACCCGCACGACCAACCAGGGCCGGGGACAAACTGCAACCGAAATACGTGCCCTTAGCGGGAACCGAACCCGGGTCTCTCCGGACCACGGGCTGATGCTCTAACCGCTGAGCCAAACTGGCCAGGGCTATATTTCCATCTCTTAAACCATGTGACTTGCTTTGACCAATGAAATTCTCAGCAAACGTAACCCAAGCAGAAGCTTGAAATGTGTTTGCACACTAAAGCTTTCCTCTCTTGCTGCTGGAATACCACATCAACAAGCCTGAGCTAGCTTGTTAGATGGAGGCCACCAGAAAAGATGTTCCAGAAATATCAGTGAGCCCAGTTGATGACACATAGAGCAGAAGAGCTAATACACAGAAAAGTGAGCAAATAAATGTTTGTTGTTAAGTCACTAAGTACAGGGTGGTTTGTTATAAAACAAAAGCTAATTGATTCAGTAATCAATTTATAAGTCTCAACATTCAATATCAACTCTATTAAGAAAATATAGCTTTAACATGAATAGTTATAAGAACTATTCAAATCTATTTCTGTACACAATTTTTTATATATATAGATATATATATATTTTTAAAATATTTTTTCTTTATTGATTTTTAGAGAGAGAGGAAGGAAGAAGAAGAGAGATATTGAAACATCGATGAGAAAGAACATCGACTGGTCCCCTCCTGCATGCTCCCCCACTGGGGATTAGACCCCACAACCTGGGCATGTGCCCTGACTGGGAATCAAACTGGCAACCTCCTGGTACAGGGGTTGATGCTCAACCACTGAGCCAAACCGGCCGGGTCACAATTTTATATTTTGAAAAAAGTTACCTTTTGAATATGTAACTCTACATCTTGCTGTGTACAGCTTCCAATTTTCTGATTCACTTTTCTTACAACACCTTCTACATCTACGATGCTCTCTTTGTTGATGCTGTCAAAAGAAAAATTTCCCAACTTTAATCTCCTCAGATATCAGAACTCATTTGGTGTTTCAACAGTAAAGCAGAATACACTAGACTCTTCTTTAATAGGGTAAGCCACTTGAGATAAACCCAGTCTATTTAAGAGTAAGCTATTATGCAGCACACCTTGTGAGATTCCTTGAAGAGATGATTTTCTAGATGCCATCATTTAGTTACCATTTATAAAATATTCTGGACATAAAAGTTAATAGGACCAGCACTAAATCATGAAAAGTAGAAAAAAGTCTTACAATTATTTATTAAAGAACATTTCCTTCCCTGTAGTTGAAATTTACTAAGATCAGCATTTCCTATAACAAGAAACACTGGCTTCAATAAATGCAATTACTGGTATGTAATGGAACTAAATAATAGAAGAAGGTCACTAAAAAGATTTCAAGGTAATAAAAGGACATTGGGGTGCTGCAATGAATTCCTCACTGTCCACTGTCATTGACTGGATTTATGGCAGATAGCCTACTGGATCATGTAATCCCATTTAAGAATGTCTATATGAAGCTTAATACTGTATACACTAAAATAAATGCATCTTCTGGGAAGTTTAATTCTATAGCAAGCTTGAATTTTGTATAAAAGACACTCAAATTCTGAAATATAAAATTTATGAAGTAGCTTATTAAACTCACCAATTGATTATTTTTTGATCTGTCATACATAACCAAAAGAGAAAGGGTGTAATCCAAAAATGTGGTTCCCATATAAAATGTATGAGTTTTACTTTTGTGTATATTCTTGTACTGATAGAATGTGTCCCAATATATTTGTGAAAATGAGTAAGATTTAACTTTCAGGTCTAGGACAGTGATGTCAGCATCAAGGCGGCTCAGCTCATATACAACTATCAATTAAAACTCTCAGGTGTTAACTGGAGCTTCAGAGTGAGGTGAAAAAAGAAGGAAGGAAAATACAAGTGTGACAACTGGGAAAGAGTAGATTTCCTGGTCAGCTAGAGTAATAGAAATAGCAAACATGTATTAGGAAAACCTGTCCTGGACTCCCTGTTTATCTCGTTAACTTTTGTATAAACCTCTCGTGATTCAATTCCGTGCCCAGACTCATACAAAATAAATGATCAGAATCTAAACAAAACAAAACAAAAGAGATGTAACTTTCTTTTCTTTTTTTAAAAGTTTTTTTTTTCTTTATTGACTTTGAGAGAGAAAGGAAGGGAGAGGTAGAGAGAGACAGAAACATCAATGAGAGAGAACACTGATTGGCTGCCTCCTGCATGTCCCCCACTGGGGATTTGGCCCACAACCTGGGCATGTGCTCTGACCAGGAATCAAACCAGTGACCTCTTGGTGCATGGGTCGCCCCTCAACCACTGAGCCACACCAGCCAGGCAAGAGATGTAACTTTCATAGTAAAAATTCTATTTATTCTGATAAGGTATTGAGTCCTTAGTAGTTATGGTGCTATTTGACAAGATTCCAGAAATCCAACAATGCTTATTTTACAAAAGAGAACACATTACAGTCCATTTCAATGAACATTTGCTCAGGGTTGGAAAGGATTAAAATGAGAATAGTAAGAAAAAAAAATGTTTATTTCACTTTGCCACCCCGCCTAAAATTTCATAATGTCTACTACCAACTACCTTTTTTTGTTCTTCTTTTATCTTCAGATAGAGCGGGAGGGAGAGAGAGAGGAAGAGGGAGAGAGAGAGAGAGAGAGAAATGCGAGAGAGACAAATCGAGTGGCTGCCACCCACACGACCCCAACTGGGGCCGGGGACAAACTGCAACTGAGGTACGTGCCCTTAGCAGGAACTGAACCCGGGCCTCTCAGGTCCGCGGGCTGACGCTCTAACCGCTGACCCAAACCAGCCAGGGCAGCAGGCTAATTTTTAAGTTGATAATTTTGCATGGCCCATGAATGATATTATAAATATCCAAATGGCCCTTGGCAGAAAAAAAGGTTTCCCACCCGTGCCCTAGAGGGAGGCCTTTCAGACTGTCTTCTTCAAGCCAACTCAAATCAAACACATCTACTCTCAAGAACTGAGCACTAAGCTAATATCTTTCCAGAAAGAAACTGAAATGTAAAGATTCCCCCTGCCTAAGGCTAGCTAAAGTTTCAATTGAAGAAAAATGTTTCTCTTCTTTCTCCCTCAAAAGTACCAGATAATTCCTTGTATACGGGACCTAAAACTTGGAACTAAGTTGACCTTTTGTACTTTATTTAAATCAGTAGTATTTCAAAAGAACTTCTGAAAACCTGACCTATTTCTTAAACTAGGGCCAGAGTTAAACTTCTTTGATCACAAGTCCATACACTGAATCAATTAGAAAGAAGGTAGGATTAATCAGATATACAGGATGCTCACAACTATTTATTTTTTACCATTCCAATCTCAGTATTTCTCCTTATATCTAGCACCTACATGTTGTTAATAGAATAGCCTATTTAGATATTAGTCAAATCATTCCATTAATTTTTAAATCTTAGGTAATTTAGCTGAGCCAAACCGGCTAAGGCTATCTGTAATATCTCTATATCTACATCTACATCCGCATCTGTAGAACTATCTATCTCTGTATTTATATATCCCTATTTATTTATAGACATAAATAAATTTAGAAGAAAAAAAACATTAAAACAAAAGAGTCAAATTTGTTTTAAAGGGTCAGACTAGAACTTGCTGGTTAGAACTAAAAGTTACAGTGTGTATGCAGTAGCTTATTCAAGTATTTCTGATAAGGTATTGAGTCCAGTATTAGATAAAATTCCATTTTGAAGAAAAAGTCTGAAGATTTTTACTAACATTGCACGTCACAATGGCTTAATACTTTATGGTCGGTCTATCTATCTATCTATCTATCTATCTATCTATCTATCTATCTTGACTGTTACCATAAAGAAACCCTATTAAGGTTTCAGTTTTACATTTTGAAACCAATACGTGACTATGTCTATATTTTGAAAGAGGGTTATGTCTAACAGGCAACTAAAAGCCTTGGCAGGAAAAAAACCCATGGTGGAAAGCAGAGGAACTCCTGGGAACTATTTTATTGTAGGAGAAATGGATGAAGTAAATAAAACACATCTTTTCAAGAGTCAAGTCAGCTATTTTTATTATTACCACTGCCTCCCACAACACACTATTACTGCATTCTTTGATACATCTTTCATTTCCCTTTGAGCCTAGATATAATCAATCACTCTACAAACAAGATGAATTTGTATAACCTTGATACTGAAAATGCCCTAATAGGCACTACAGACTTCATGTCATCCATTAGAAACTGTCAACTGTCAATTTAATAGTTAACTTTTAACTTAAACCGTCTTTAGAAAATAAAATGATAAAAAGTACCATTCTTTACACAAAGTTTTTTTTTTATCCTCACCCAAGGACATTTTTGCACTTATCTTCAGATAGAGCAGGAGGGAGAGAGGGAAGAAGAGAAACATCGATGTGAGAGAGACACATTGACTCGTTGCCACCCACAGAACCCCAACCGGGGCCAGGGACAAACTGCAACCGAGGTACGTGCCCCTAGTGGGAACCGAACCCAGGTATGTCTGGTCTGCGGGCTGACGCTCTAATTGCTGAACCAAACCAGCCAGGGTATACACAAAGTATTTTATAAAAATATTTAGAGTTGGCTATCAAGTTTTTAAAAAAAAAAACAAATGATATAATGTATGAATAACTCAAACAATTACAAAACATGCAACTTGGGAGAAAAAAACAAACAGTACTTAGTTATCTGAAGGAATAAAATCCCATCTTTCCAATACAAGTACCATACAGTTTACTACTAGGGCCTCACTAATAACCTTAGGGACACTTTCATTATCTATAGTTCTCTCCATCTTGATTAAAACGTTTTTCATGTCTATAGTATATAAGCAGCAGCAAACTAAAAAAAAATCTGGTAGAACTATTAGAAATAGATACCATAGTTGACTGCTGAATATATTTTTTTAAAAAGAACAAAAACAAAAACAGGAAAGTGGCAAAGAACCACATCATTACCTAGCACAGTAATAGATATTCACAATGATGGCCTGTCATTAAGAAAGTTAAGAATTTTCGAGACTTCCAGTCAAGATGGCGGCGTAGGTAAACGTGGTATTGCGTCCTCACACAACCACATCAAAGTTACAACTAAACTACAGAACAACCATCATTCAAAACCACCTGAAATCAAGCTGAATGGAAGTCCTACAACTATGGAATTAAAGCAGCAGCAGCCACATCCAAACTGGTGCCCTGCTCAGGGTTCCAGTGCCAGGAAGAGAATCCCCATAACTTCTGGCTGGAAAATCCAGCAGGAACTGAGGCTCAGGGAAGCTGAAGCAGCTGGAGCCCCAGGCAGCTCCTTAAAAGGCCCGCAAACGAACTTATCCGACTCTCTCCCTCTAAGCTTGGAGGGGAGGCAGCTCGAGGGGCACCAGAGACATATAGGGAAGAACTGAGCTGTTTGGCACTGGAGCGAGGGCTGGAGAGGGGGCTTTCTCCGGGACAAACGTGTTGTCAGAGGCCTTCGTTCCTTTGGTGAGCCCTTCCCTGGGGCGGCAGACAGAAGCCATATGTGGGACTCCAGCAACCTGGCTCACACTGGTAGCCCCGCCCTGGTGACTCCCTGAGGCCCCACCCCGCCCCACCCAACTTTCAGGCCCACCCAAGCTGTTGCCACTTGCTTAACCACAGGACTGGCCTCTCTTGGATCCTGCTTCAGGTTTTTCCTAAATTCTTTCAAACAAGCAGCATCTGGTCTCAGCTAGCCCCATAGCGCTCGTTAAGTAATACACAGAAGCAAACACAGGGAGGCAGCCAAAATGAGGATACAAAGAAACAGGTCCCAAATGAAAGAACAGAACAAAACCCCAAGAAAAGAACTAAGCGAAATGGAGATAAGCAACCTAACAGATGCTGAGTTCAAAATACTGCTTATAAGGATACTCAATGAACTCAGTGAGAACCTCAGTGAACTTAGTG